GTGTCAAGGTTTGCCATGCTCGGCCACCTACATCAATGTCCACTGTCCCGACAGCACCCACCGCCATCTTCAACGCTTGACTAGATGTCGACATCGATAGAGCACATGAGGTGTTCCTCGCACCGCGTAACCACACCGCCACCCGTCACCAGTCCTCCGATAACCCTCGGAAAAACAAAAAAAAAAAATCCTTCGACAAAGCGCCACCTGATCCCACCTGAACCAAGAAACGCATACCTTCCTCTCCCCATCGTCTGCCTCCCCACTGTGGCTCTGTTCTAACCGCTCGGCTATACATGGCTAAATGGACCAGGCCCGCTGGGCCGACACCGGCACGGCACTAAAAAGCATGACTCGGCCTGGCTCCCATCATGCCCGTGCCTGACATGGCCTGGCCGTAGTGCCGTGCCTGGGCCTCAATGCCAGCCCGCAGTGCGGGCACGAGCACGGCAGGGTGAATGGGCCGGCACGATGGTGGCCCGGTTATTCTCAATCGTTGGATTAACTTGCAGCATTTCTGACTATTGGATGGCTCTTAATAAAAACCTAGGTATAAAAGCTAACTCCATACTCATTCTCACTCGGGGTCGTTTGGTACGGCTCCTAGACTAGCTCCAGGAGCAGTTTCGCTGCTCAACCAGCCAAACGGCAGAGATGGAATGGCTCGCTCGCGCCTTTCGGGGAAACCCACCGAGAGAGGTGAGAGAGAGAGTAGGAGCCAAAAATGTAGCTTCCTCCGCCCGCATGACTGAGAGTTGGCCGAGAACCGGCCGGTAGCCTGATTTGCCCCGAGGCGCGTCGGTATGGCGGCGGCGGCGTAGGGCGTCGCGGGTGCACGACGGCAGCGTTGCAAGCTCATTTCGCGTCGAGGCAGATCTGGCGCGCTTTGTCTTTGGGCGCAGCTCATGCGGAGGCGTCGGGTCTGCTCCGGACGGCGCAAGGATGGCTCGCCGTGGAGGCGCATGAGGTTACGGCCGCAACGGCAGTGCTCGGAGGCGCATGCGAGGAGGGAGGAAGGGCAAGCGCATGGCTGCGCAACGTGCGTAGTTGCCGGAGCTCCGGACGCCGAAGCGCAGGGGCGTCGGGTGTCGAGGAGAGAGCTGGCGTGGAGGGCAGAGCCGACGCGGTGCGAGGCGAAGCGCGGCCCCATGGCGCGGTGCGAGGCGCCGGATGTTGAAGGAGATGCGTCGGACAGATAGATAGGCCGCGTGCGGTTCGACCGAGCAGATAAGGTTGGGAAACAAAATAAAAGAAAAAAAAAAAAAGAAAAAGTAAAAAAAAGGATATTATGGACAATTCGTTCTTTTGACCTACCAGGAGAAACTGATATGCCAAATCTCTTCTCTAGAACTAAAATATTCATAAGAGAATCGTTGACAGGCGTGCGAAAAATCGTTCGCGTCTGCGCTTGCCCGGCGCGCCTGCAGTGGACCCGGCGTCGTGCGAGCGATCACCGAGAGCTTCGCCCGTCATTCAATCACCGCAGGACCGGAGGAAAAGCAAATCACCTGCGCCTGCCCTTCCTGCGCTCGCTCACGTCGCCGCCTCGCAACAGCGCGGTGCGGTGGAGCCCCTCGATCCATCTCCCCACCGGGCGAGTTTTTTTTCACCCATGCGGTTTTCTCCACCTTGAATGGCTGCAACCGGCGGCGGGTGCGCGTGTGGCGGCTGGGGATCTGCGTGTGTGCGCTGGTGCTAGACGAGGAGGGCGACAAGAGGCTCTTGGTCCGTGGCGGTGCGACCGCGGCCAACGCTAGGATGCTGCTCCTGTGTAAGGCAACCATCGCGGTCGCCGCATCATTGGCGTCAACGACTGCAAGCGTGGGAGCGGGACTTCTGGTGCTGGATGCCTCCACCGCCCATCGTTTCTCTCACTCCCCGAATCCCCGATCCGTCTGTGTGGAATACCGAAACATCCGTTCGCCGCCCTACGCCGACGCCGCCGGGACCCGGAGGCAAGTAGCCACGCTGGTCCGGCATGGCCGCCCGACGCCGCCAGGCTTCCCAAGGTAAAATTTTCTCCCGCACAGATCTACGATTTGTTTTAATGTTTGTACTGATGAGGTGATTGTGGATGAGCTGATTGGAGCCCGCGTCCTCGAGGTCGGGCGAGACGGAGCCCGAGGTCGGGTGAGACGGAAACCGCGTCCTTGGGGTCGGGCGAGACGAAGCCCACGGCCTTTAGGTCGGGCAAGACGGAGCCCGTGGCCTTGGGGTTGGGTGATACCTTTTAATACGTCTCGAGCCATCTGGGGAAATCTGCGTGTGCGCTAACTTCCTTGCTTTGAGTATCCCTAATATCGATACCCGACACACTTGGACTGTAACATTATTTTGTGTTACTACCGGACATATATTTGTAACACATTTATATGTTCCATTTATGTGTTACATCATAGTATATTTTTATAGCATTTTGCTTGTAACATTAATTTTATGTTACTATAATGATTGTCGGTAACATATTTTTTTTAAAAAAGGTGTTTTATGTTACAACTGAAGTCTGTAACACACTATTTTGTATTACTATGAAATTTTACGAAAACACATTGATAAATATGTTAAAAAATGCTACAATATCATTGTTTTGTAGCAGTGAGCCCTGCTGGAGCGGAGGACCTCTCGCGTGCGTGCCGACGTCCTCGTCATCCACATGTGAGCTGTCGTCCACTGATTCTCCTCGGATCTAGTAACTAGAGCAGCTGTATGCGTGAATGGATCAGATTCTTCAGAATTTGCTCCGGCGACCTATAGTACCCTACCAGCAGCCGTTTTTCTGTAGTCAAAGCATCCTCGATGATTGCCGGGTCCCGGCGCTCAGTGACCGCGGTTGGTTGCAGTTTATCAGGTCGATCCGTTGGGTTTCAGCTCGTAATAAGAAAAAGGGTCAAAAGCAGCTAATTGCAAGGGATAAAAAAATTATGCATATGTGACGCAGAGAATCTCCTGTGAAGCACGTGATGGACCAATGAAACATGATCAAACGGCAACTAGCTGGTGCTGCACGTGAGATTTTATGCATCACGTATGCAAAGAACTTTTTTCTCTCTCAAGGAAAGACATATCCTAGTTGTGAGAAATACATTTACTAACTTATATAAAATGAGGATAGGTATACTTTTATTTGGAATCTAAATAACGGGCTTGTTGTCTATTAGATCATGTAGAAGCACTAGTCAGTAAAAAATACGCTTGAACTTATCAACCTGACTTATCAGCCATAGAACAGTGTTTTTTTCTCATAACAAATCAACTTCAGCCGGTTTATCAGCCGTAGAAACCGGCTGAAGCTAATTTGTTGTTAGAAAAAACACTGTTCTATGGCTGATATTAAGATTTCAGCTAGGGATATTATAGGTTTTACTGTCCTGAAATAGACATGACCCTATTTTTTCACAATCGTTTTTGGTTCTGGATGGAATAGCTGGTTTATGCTACTTCACAATTGTGTTTGTTTGGTTATTCCATCGGACGTACCGAATGGCCCAGCAAAAACGCGCCGCACTCCCACCATATCGCTGTAGTCCTTCCCCGTCTGCCTCGTCCTGCCACACACGCGTACCCTGCCCCCCGTTCGTCTCGCGCCACCCCACGCCCACTGCTCCTTCCCCCTCACCCCCTCCTCTCACTACACGTGGGTGGGACCCGCGAGCCGGGATGAGGACGAGCACGCCCCTTCTATGGACCCGTGGCTCGCCGCGGCGCTTCCCCTGGCGCCCAGGGCGTGCCCCCATGACTCTTTGAGCATACATTTGAAACACAAAACACTTGCAACATGAAACACTTGAATGCAACATATGTTTGAAGCAAATAAAACACTTGGAACATACACTTGCAACATGTGTGTGAAACATATGCAACATCTAGATAAAACAGTTGCAACTTGCAACATGAAAATACTTATTGCAACATAAGACTGAAATAGTTGAAATATTTGAAACATACTCTTGCAACATATTTGTGAAACATATGCATCATCCAAATATGCACACTTGCAACATACGTTTGAAAAAGCAGATGAAACATTGGACACGAACGCTTACAACATACGTCTACAGCCATTGCAACATGTACAACATCACGGTCTATTTTTGCAACATCCATATGAAACACTTGCAACATACCTCTGAAATAATTGAAACACACTCTTGCAACATGCGCTTTCAACATAACATCTCCTTGCTGCTCGGCAGAATGGAGGTTCGTCGGTGTGTGGAGTTCGCCAGAGGCAGTGGCCCGGCGATAGTGGCTGCACGTCGCAGATGGGAGGCATCTGGAGAATGAGCGGTGGGGAGCCCGCGGCCACGCGACTTGGAGAGGGCAGCAGCGAGCACAGCGCCTGGTAAGGTCAGCAGCCGAGCGGTACGCCTCGGAGGGCTAGCGGTCGTGCGCCCAGAGGTGGTAGCCGAGCGGATAAGAGCGATAGAAAGAGGAACGAGTGGATGAACAGTTTTTTTTAAACGAAGGAACATGGGTTGTTGGTCTGACGTCGTTGCCCAGCAACATAGCGTCCGCACAGACAAACGGCCTTAGATTATACTAACGGCAAACTCCTACACGAAAATGTTCCTTGGCTGCACGATTAACAAGCCGACCGAGTTGGGCTGGCATCGCCTTCGGTTTCCCTCAACAAGTAAAGCCCACTTGTTCACGTTGTAACTTGTTTAGGCCCATCCCCAATACTCACTGGATGCAGTACTGTGCTACATGCGGACCACTGCCCAGTTTGAATTTAAGAGCTTTGACTTTAAGAAGATGTATAGTACACCATATATAAATTATAATTGCATTCTTCCAAAGAAGATGGCTACTTTCAGGAAAAAAAAGAATTATTTATCGAAGGACATGAATAAATACACACAAGAAAAAAATCAAACAAAGGCAAACGACTGACACCCAAGCAATATACAGTCAGTCAGACGGATCAGCCCAGGAGGCCAGGAATCAGGATACATAAACACGGAGACCGGCCAACTTTTTTACTACTAGCAGTCAATAATTTACTTCTTGGTGGCGAACTGCGCCTTGATCCTCTGCACGGTGGCGGCGTCGATCCTGAACGCCTTGGCGAGCACCTCGTCGGAGACAGCGGGGGTGGCACCGAACAGCGAGTCCGCGACGCGGATGAGCCCAGGGTTCTGGCTGCTGAGCCCGAAGATACCGACGGCGGGGCTGGCGCCGCAGTTGAACTCGAAGTGGACGAGGCCCTTGGGGAAGACGAAGACGTCGCCCCTGGACAGCACCTTCGCGAAGAGCGTGCCATCGGTGGCGAGGAAGCCGACGTACATCTGCCCCTGGACGACGGTGAGCACCTCGGTGGCGCGCGGGTGCGTGTGCGGCGGGTTGAGGCCGCCCGGAGCAATGTCGAGGCGCGCCATGGCTGTTAGATAATTCCGTGCATGATCTTGCATATTCATTTATGTAATTAAGTAGTGCTTGTTTACTTCCTGAACTATAGCTAGCTGCATGTGTGATGAGAGGTGTAGAAGCCAGAACCGTGCTGTGTCCACGGTGCGGCCAGGATTTGGTCACCGCCAAGCTGTATACGAAACGCTCTCGCGCTTTAGGCGGGCACGGCACAGGTGAGCGCGCATGGCGGGGGGATCGTGGGTCTCAGACCTTGTATACACCATGAATAAAAGGCAACAAAGAAAACCAGAAAAGCTGCAACGTTTGGCAGCGCCATTCTCTCGCGTTCAGTTGAGATCCACCGAGTTCGCGTGCGTGAGTGAGTGAGCGACGTCGTGCGCGTGATCGCCGTCGTTGCCGATCACCGTCGAGCTACAGATTTCGGCAGCCGGCGCCAACATCTGGTATCAGAGCCACGCTGTATGTTCTACGACGGCTCGGTGAGTCCACCGCGCCAACCACCTCGCAAGAAGCTCGTCGTTCCTCGGAGATCGCCGCAGGCCACTATGGGCGGCGACGGATCGTCCTCAAGCACCGGCGACCGCGTTCGAGAGAGTTCACTCATGTGGCCAATGTTGACCCGCTCCAACTACTCGGAGTGGGCCATGCTCATGCAGTGTAACTATGAAACGCTCGAGATCTGGGAGACGATCGAGCCCGGCGGCGAAGGCGTGAAGCGAGCTCAAGATCGGCAGGCCATGGGAGGTCTTCTCCGGTCCGTACCCAAGGAGATGTGGGCGATGCTGGGCGCCAAGAAAATGGTGAAGGAGGCGTGGGCGGTGGTGAAAAGCATGAGGTTGGGTGCTGATAGGGTGAAAGAAGCCCATGCCCAGCGACTGCTTCAGGAGTTCGAGAACATCGCGTTTAAAGACGGTGAGATGGTCGACGACTTCGCGCTGCGCATCAATGCGCTCGCGGAGGAACTGCGTGGGCTCGGGGAGTCCATCGATGACGCTCGTGTCGTGAAGAAGATGTTGCGAGTTCTCCCGAAGCGCTATGCCCAAATTGCAGTGTCCATCGAGATACTATTGGATGTCAAGACCCTGTCGATTGAAGATCTGGTGGGACGTCTGAAGGCGGCTGAGGACCGGTTCGAGGTCGACTCCGTCACGGAGCGAACCGGGCGTCTCATGCTGTCAGAGGAGGAGTGGTTGTCCAAGTACCGTCACCGTCTAATTCCAGAGTCGTCTTCCTCTGGTGGAGGAGAGAAGCAAGGCGGGTACAACCCCGCCAAGCAGAAGGGCGGTGGGCGCGGTGAGAAGAAGGAGCCAGTCCTGAAGCTGACATCGGAGAGTACACCACGCCGCAAGGGAAGGTGCTGAAACTGTGGAATTTACGGTCCCGGAAATAGGACTGTAAAAGGCCTCCCAAGAAGGAACGTAAAGAAGAAGCCCACCATGTGCAGGCGGATGCAGATCATCAGCCGGCATTGATGCTGGCAACGGTGAACTCCGTGCACGTTGAGAGGAGGACACACTGCATCACTGCGTCATTGTCGAGCACGTGGGATCAAGTTGTTCATCTCAATGAGAAGAAGGTGTTCCCAGCTGATCGAGATGAAAGCAAGGATGTTTGGGTCCTTGATACGGGGGCCAGTAATCACATGACGGGGTGCAGAGAGGTGATGTCATCGCTCGACACGTCTGTGCGAGGCACGGTGCGTTTTGGGGATGGATCACTCGTTGAGATCGTTGGCATCGGCTCTGTTGTGTTTCAGACCAAAGAAAAGGGGCACAAGGTACTCACTGAAGTCTATCTTATCCATAAATTAAAGAGTAATATTGTGAGTTTAGGCCAGTTGGAAGAGAGTGGTTTCAAAATTGTGATTGAGAATGGGTTCTGTAATGTGTTTGATGTTGAGCGCTCATTGCTGGCAAAAGCACCTCGGGTCAAGAACCGTCTATATCTGTTGAAGCTGCACATCTCTGAACCTGTCTGTTTAGTTGCAAAAACAGACGAAAAGGCTTGGCTCTGGCATGCTCGTTATGGACATCTCAATTTCCGAGCGATCCGAGAACTTGGAGCCAAAGAGATGGTCGAGGGATTACCGTTGATTGACCGGGTGGAAGAAGTTTGTGATGGTTGTGCACTTGGAAAGCAGTGTCGACACCCGTTTCCTCAGGTGGCCAATTACAGAGCCAACAGCCCATTAGATCTGATCCATGCTGATCTATGTGGCCAAATCAAGCCAAAGACACTGGGGGGGGTAAGAGTTATTTTTTGCTTTTGGTTGATGATTATAGCCGTTATATGTGGGTGGAGTTTCTGACAACAAAAGATGAGGCCTTCAAGTGTTTTAAGAAGGTGAATGTTTTGGCAGAAACTGAAGGAAGATGCAGGCTTCGAGCTTTTCGCAGTGATCGCGGTGGAGAGTTTAATTCCATCGAATTCAAGGTGTACTGTGATGAGAATGGAGTAAAGCATTTCACCACCACACCGTATACACCACAGCAAAACGGTGTTGTGGAACGCCGAAATCGTACAGTGGTGGAGATGGCTAGGTGTCTCGCCAAGAGCAAGAAAGTGCTGGAGAGTTTTGGGGGAGAAGCAATCCCAGATCTGCAGTTGTATCTCATTGAACCGTGCCCCGACGAGGAGCCTCCAAGGCAGGACACCCTATGAAGCGTGGTACAACAAGAAGCCTAAGGTTCATCATCTTCGAACATTTGGCTGTGTGGCCCATGTCAAGAAGGTTGGCCCTGGAATTTCCAAACTTTCAGACAGGTCAACAATGATGGTGTTCATAGGCTATGAAACTGGGACAAAGGGTTACAGATTCTATGAACCTGTGATAAAGAAACTCTACATATCTCGAGATGTGATGTTTGAAGAAAATCGAGCTTGGAAGTGGAGTGAAGAATCCCCAGTAGAACCAGCTGTCCCTGCGTTTGAAGTGGAGCATTTCACTATTGCTAGACAGGGAACAGTAACTGAAGGTTCAGGTTCAGACTCTGAAGATTCAGAGAACCCGTCTGTTCTAGATGCAGCATCACCCTCCTCTGGTCAGTGGTCAGTGGGTACTGGGTCAGGTGATACACCAACTCAAGCAACACCTCCGGGAAGCCCAGCTGGACAAGGAATAGAATTTGCATCACCACCAACAGGAGAATCAGTGAACTCAGAGGGCATACCAATGAGATTGAGAACCTAATGGAGAATATAAATGACACTCTTCAAGAGTTAAGCGATTTTGAGTACAAGTGGGATGTGTTGTCTAGCAGCGAGAAGAACCAAACGGAGTAGATGAGGCCTTGAGTGAATAAAGTCTTTGGAGGGAAGCAATGGGCTGCAGAAATGGAATCAATTCAGTCCAACAAAACACTGGGAGCTAGCAGACTTACTGCAGGTCATCGTGCTATTGGCCTGAAGTGGGTGTTCAAGGTTAAGAAAGATCCAAGCAGGTAATGTGATCAAGCACAAAGGCAGATTAGTGGCCAAAGGGTATGCTCGGCGTGAGGGGTGGACTTTGAAGAGGTGTTAGCGCCTGAGTGGCTCATATAGAAACAAAGAGAGCTGTTGTTGTTAGCAGCGGCAAAGCAAGAAGTGGTTGGAAGGTGCACCACATGGATGTCAAATCAGCATTTCTAAATGGAGACTTGGTTGAGGAGGTGTGTGTACAACAACCTCCGTGCTTTGTTGTAGAGAAGGGGAGTGGAAAGGTACTCGGCTGAAAAAGGCTTTGTATGGGCTGCGTCAAGCACCCCGTGCTTGGAATGCAAGACTTGATAAGGAGCTTGTGAAGCTTGGCTTTGTCGAAACACTCTAGAGCATGCAAGATCTGTAAGAGCTGAGTATAAGGGCAATTATTTGTTAGTGGGTGTATATGTGGATGATCTAATCATCACAGGCCAAGTAAGGAGAGCATTGATCCGATCAAGAAACAAATGATGGAAAGATTCAAGTATGAGTGACCTAGGTGTGCTCTCATATTACATGGGAATTCAGGTAGTTCAAGGAGAGGGAAACAACTTTGTGTCGAGTTCTTATGCTCGAAAATTTTAGAGCAAGCAGGAATGGAAGGCTGCAATTCCTGCCATGTCCCGATGGAGAACAGGTTGAAGTGAGCAAAGAAGATAAATCCCCTCCAGTTGATTCAACAAAGTATAGGAGTGTGATTGATGACTTGAGATATCTTGTGAACACAAGACCAGATATTGCTTATTCAAGAGGCATTGTCATGAGACACATGGAGAATCCAAGGGCGAGTCATTGGGCAACTGTGAAGCAGATACTACGGTACATTGCTGGAACACTAAGTTATGGAGTCAGATACACAAGATCAGGAATCTCGAACCCGATCGCTTGGTTTCAGTGATAGTGACTTGGTGGCGACATATAGATGATGTGAAAGAGTACCAGTGGCTCAGTATTCTTCATTGGCATGAATCTGGTTACATGGGTGTCACAGAAACAGAGGGTAGTTGCTCTTTCATCCTGTGAGGCTGAGTATATTGCAAGTGCTAATGCAGCGTGTCAAGGCATTTGGCTCAGTCGTCTGTTGAGTGAACTGCTCGGTATTCAAGCTCCAAAAGTCAGACTCCTAGTTGACAACAAGTCTGCCATAGCTCTGAGTAAAAACCCAGTTCATCATGAACGGAGTAAACACATAGACACAAGATACCACTTTGTGAGAGAGTGTGTTGACAATGGCAGCATTGACATTGATCATGTGAGCACGCAGAACCAATTGGCAGACATCCTGACGAAGGCACTTGGCAAAGTCAGGTTCATTGAGCTACGGCAGCAGCTGGGAGTAGTTGATGTGCAACGGGATTAAGGGGGTGATATGTTAGATAATCCCGTGCATGATCTTGCATATTCATTTATGTAATTAAGTAGTGCATGTTTACTTCCTGAACTATAGCTAGCTGCATGTGTGATGAGAGGTGTAGAAGCCAGAACCGTGCTGTGTCCACGGTGCGACCAGGATTTGGTCACCGCCGTGCTATGTACGAAACGCTCTCGCGCT